TTAACCTTTTGAACGCCAGAGCAAAAACGCATGAACTTGCCCTCAACGCCAGGCCACAAATTCACCGCAAATACCTACGAAAAAAATAGGGATTCCAAAACTTCATCGATAATCAATTTTATTTTCATTTTCGTCTTTAATTTCGAAATATAATGTCCTTATAACATTGAAATTTAATTCAACATTACATTTCTTCCTATTAAAGTAATAGTTATACACTATTTACAGACTTGTATAATACCGTAATAACAGATATGAGACTACAATATATTTAAATATAATAACTGTAGGTACAACACTGCTGTCTTCATATTGTGACCATGGCGTGGACGGCCCGCCATTTTAATAACTACTTCGCTTCCGAAATAAGGATGTGGCAACGTAATATCTCGTTTATCGATGTTCTAGTACAATATTATTTTATAATAAATGAAACACGTTTTTTAAATCAGATTTATAATTCCGAATGTAACAGGTACTTAAAAATATATGATTGAAATAGGTTAAGAAGGTAAATAAAAACTATGAAAAAATAGAAAATTTTAATAAAATGTTATACAGTATGTACTATGTATACATGTTTTTAAATATTAAGTTCTATAAACCTGGCATAAAAAGTAACAAATTAAAACAATTAACGATTATATATAATTATCACAATTACCAATCAGTCTTATACTAATAAATCTTTTGAATAATAGAGCAAAATTATACAAAATCTACAATGCAACCTGCATTCTGAACTCTGAACTCGATATCACAAGTAAATTAATCATAAATATTATTCATTCACTTCACTAATTTCTGGTCGCCGCGCTTGTGACGTCACGATATTGTCGTCTAGTCGTGACCATGGCGTACAGGGTACTGATAATTCGGGTTGCGTTAGGGATGCGCTCGAGTTGGGATTAGTGAATATCGAAATTCGACCCAACCAAATTTTATTTTTGACTATGTAGCTTATTGAATGATTTTTAAGACCGGTTTTATAAAATTAATGCTGCTTTATCCTAGTACCAAATTATACCTAAAATAATATATTCCAGAGGAAAGTTTCGCATCGATCTTTGATTTAAAATAATGATATTATCCAACATGCGCTACATCACTAGCGGTCACGCATTTATGACTCTGGCGTGTGAGGACATTCTTTTTTCAGAGTTTATTTCTTTCTTTTTAACGTAAAATTTTTCAATATTTATAATGCAATTTAATTAGTTTTATGGAAATAAATAAATTTTGGACCTTCTATTTTACAGGTATATAAATAAATAGGCATTAAAGTAATGTTTAAATAGTTTATTTCGTGTTTTAATGTACCGCTGTTTTTGTCACATATTTGTGTCGTTGGCGCTCAGGGACAGTTTTCGCTTGTCACGTACCTATTTGTGACAATGGCGCTCAAAAGGTTAATTGAACTAAATGGTATTGAGTTCGGCTTTATATTCCG